TGTTTGTCTATATGCAGCGTTGTTTGTTGATAGGGGGGAGCTCTTTGTTGCTTTTCTCGCCTCCTTGGTTCGGTGCGGGGGGCTCCCGAGGCGGACGATTGTTCGTATGGGTGGGTTTGTGTGGGGGGTGGGGGGGGGGATTGTTCCACTCGCTAGTGTTTCTTTTCGTTTTTTGTTGCTTATGGCTAGTACCAAAGACCTCGTTGCTTGTTCGGGCTTTACCTGTAGAAGAAGGAAAGAGCTACTCTTGCTGTCAACACGCTTTCCGCAACTTCATAACGCATCGGGCTACACTAAATATATTATTTCCAGAAATCTCGATAGACCGATCTAGGCATCCGTTCGCCAGACCGCCACACCAAGCAGTCAAAATTCATGCCAGTATCACGACGCTGACTCTGGCTCTTTCATGCTACTCTTTCTGTTTTTCATCTTTTTTGCGTTGTATGCTAGTATGTTATGACATAAGTATGGATAATGAGTCAGGCATATCCAGTGATTCACTAAATATCATGGTTCTCAGATTTGTTCTACGGCAGAAGTAGCAATAGCGCCCGGGTTGTCCCCGAAAATGCTACAATGACGGCGGGTTCAGTCCATCGCTCGTTCTCTAGCGCTATGGCCATATTATCTATGATGATCATTTCTGTCTCAACCTTTTCCACTTCTTAAGACCCAACCTCGCTCTCATTCGTTTCTCCCGAGTAAACATCACAAGTCACACGCATATCCCTCGTCAGAAGGCGCAATACCATGGTCGTCATCTGGAGCGCGTTCAACATCTTCCAGGCGACCCAATTTGTTCTAGCAATTACGTTGAGTAGCTCGGCCTATACTCATCTGTTTCTCTGGCTGCGGCGCTCTGATCTTCCAAAATCCTCTTTCAATTGGGGGCAGCAATATCAGGACGAAGATGGAGAAGCTTCCAAAGAATCACTGCAATCATTTGCAGATCGTCTGCCGCGAGCGGCGTTTGCCCTGCATACTTTCATTGGTAGCTTAGCCTGTTTTGGGTTAATTGTGGTTGGCTCTTGCCATGGAACCTCGCTCGGCGGATTTCTCCAATTTGGCATATGGGTACCCTATTCCTTCCTTAGGTATACTCGAACCAAGGCTGACGTCAAGCTTCTAGATCAATCTAATGCTACAATCTGTGGCATTATTCACTGAATCATCTGCTCCACGCCGATTTCGTCAGGCAATTTGTGGAAGTATGAATTGCATCAACGTATCATGCGCCCTCCTCTTCGGTCTTTACTTTGGATTACCGGATTGGAGAACACTAGGAAACGAAGGGCGCATTCTCATGGCGGTTGGGTTTGTGTCAGCCCTGCTAGCATGTGTGTCTGGCTTGATGCTGCCACGCCGCCCGGACGTCTTCTGGAAAGGAATCCTGGTCGATAGACGATTCACGACCTCCGCGTTTAACATCTTTTTCTTTTCTTGGTCTCTATCAGCGTTACGCAGCTTGTCGACAGAACAGTCGCCAAGGATATACAACCTTCCTCAGCTCAATCACACAATACGCGCGCTACCTCTTTTGCAGCGCTTCCAGGACTACAGATCGCTTCGAAACGACAGTCGCTCACTCTGGAAAGATCTGTTTTCTATCAATTGGCGACAACTGGTTGTACAACTGAGCATGACAATTTTTGGATCTATCATCAGCTTTACGCCTCAAATGATGCTTCTTGGCATTCTTAGGGCCATGGAGCGAGATCCTGGCGGCGAAAGCAGACTTTCCATCACTGCTCCATGGGTTCTCGGTCTAGGTATGAGCATCATTTGTACCGCTTTGATGGACACAGGAACTATTTGGGTCTCAAGTGTAAACTTGGGAGTCAAAATGCAGAAGCAACTCACCATGCTTCTCTTCGATAAGATGCTCCGTGGCATCTCCACGGGATTGGAAGAATACGACGATGAAGACGATTCCGGAATAGCAGATCTGACAAGTGTGAACGTCATTAGTCTTGTCACTCTGGACACGCAGCAGATTGCAAACTGTATTCGAGACGTCTATCGAGGTTATGAGGCTGTCATCAAGTTGATCATTTCTGGATGGTTCATTCAGCAGCTCATGGGCTGGGAAAGTTTGCTAGCTAGCATCGTCATGGTTGTGTTGCTCTTCTTCGGCAACGTACTTGTTGCAAAGCAACATGCGCGTGATCAGATCGGACTCATGGAGGAAAAAGATCTTCGAGTGGCTGCCCTCACGGACGCTCTCGGAGGAGTTCGTCAAATCAAACTGTCCGGAACCGAGCAAAATTGGTTGACATATATCTCACAGTTGCGAGAGAAAGAGTTGGCAAGTCTATGGGCAGTAAACCGATGGAACATGGCTTCGAGCGCAATCTGCACCATGACCCCAATCATGCTTTCTGTGCTTGTCATTTCGATACATGTATACGTTACTGGACAGCTGAAGGCATCAACAGCTTTTACAAGTTTGTCTATCTTGGGCTCCATCAACAACACACTAGGAGCTATTCCGCAACTGCAAACCGGTTGGATACGCGCCTTGAACAGTTTGAGGCGGCTCGAAGACTACCTCTATGCACCTGACAAATGCTTTCCCTCGACTGATGACGACGAAATTAGTTTCCAGAATGCGACTCTTTGCTGGCATGGATCAAGTCCGGATGTGTTTTCCCTCAGAGATGTGACCTTATCTTTTCCCCGGGGCGATATAAGTATCATCGAAGGGCCCAGCGGATCTGGAAAGAGCTTGTTGTTGGCCGCAGTTCTTAGCGAGTGCGAATTGGTTGCTGGTAGCGTCACAAAACCCTCTGTCGCCACCCATGCGCCAACAACCGCAGGACGCTCTTGGTCTCTGAATTCGTCTATCGCGTACGTCGGACAGGCTCCTTGGATTGAAGCTGGTACAATCATGGACAACATTACTTTTGGCTTCCCGATGCAAGCAAGGCGTTTTAGTACGGTACTTCATGCTTGTGCTCTCGAAACAGATCTAGCAGCTTTGAAGGATGGCGACCAGACCGAAATTGGACCGCACGGAGTGAACCTGAGCGGTGGACAACGCTTACGCATCACACTTGCACGCGCCCTCTATTCTCCCGCCGCTATCCTAGTTCTGGATGATATCTTCAGCGCTATTGACGCCCACACAGCTCTTCATATAGCGCAGAACGTTCTAGGCGGCTCCCTTATCCAAGGTCGTACTGTTATCTTGGCCTCACACCATCCTTCTCTCTACATGCCCTACGCAGACTATATCGTATCGCTATCCAGTGGAGGCCAGTACGAATGCAGGTTCACAGAACGTTGTGGCCTCACCAAGCCACAGGAAACTGTTTACACGACAAACGAGATGATACCGAGACGTCGTCGTGCATCAACTAAGACGGCTGCATCAAGACATGCTCGCAAACCTTCTGTCTTTTCGGTGGCTTCCATTGAGCCATTCCCAATGACTGAGTGTACAGATGCCACGGAAGTTTACCGATATGTCGAAGAAGAGCAAGAACAAACCTCTGGATCGCAACACAAGACCTTGATACAGTATTTGCAGTCCATAGAACATGCTTGGTATCTCCCTCTTGCGTTACTAGCTTATGCGAGCTACGTGGGTATGCTCGTAGGACAGGTATGTCACGCCGTCCGATAAAGATTACATTGAGACTGATGCACAATAGTCATGGTGGATCGCCCGTTGGGTACAACAGGACGAACGAACGACCCACAACTCACCCAATCCAGGTCGTGAGAACGAAACCAGCCTTGTATGGTACCTGAGTGTATATGTCACACTCGCAATAACGTCGTGTGTCTTCGGTATAGGCCAGAACTATTTAACGTACTGTTGTGCGTTGAATGCATCAAGACGTCTATTCGACATGCTTTTGAATGCCGTCCTGCGTGCGCCAATGGACTTTACCGAACGGAATCCACTGGGCCGGATAATGAATCGTTTCACAAGCGATACAGCCATCCTCGATGAACAGATTGGTCAAATCATCGGCGGCGCCTTGACAAGCGCCTTGGTGTTGCTTTCTATTTTCGGAGTGAGCATTACCGTCAGCAGATGGATACTACCCATGTCAATTCCGATGCTTCTGTTGTGCGCATACAGTGCTAACCAGTTCCTCCGAGTGGCTCGCAAACTGAAGCATCTTGACAACATAAGCCGAAGTCCAGTCCTGGAGGGCTTTTGCTCTACGATGGATGGATTGCCCACTATCCGGTCTATGCTGCTGCAAGAAAGATACACGACTAAGTTTGCAACCCTGGTAGACGACAACACACGAGCGCTTTTGAACCTTTGGCTTATCAACTCTTGGTTTGGATGTCGCATGGCGTTGATTGGGTCAGCTTTCGTCACCATGGCTAGCCTGGTTATCGTCTTAATGCCCGGTACCACAGTCGCCATGACAGGCTTCGCACTAGGATTCTTGATCCGCTACACAGACAACATCTGTACATTTGTTCGAAACTTTGGTAGTCTTGAGCTTGCACTCACTAGCACCAGTCGCGTCATTGAGTATACGAATATTCCTAGCGAGAACTATAGTGGCGGGCGCGTGCCACCTGCGGCCTGGCCGGAAGAGGGTCGTGTTCGCATTTCCAACCTGGTCATTCGGCACGCACCCCATCTGCCTCCTGCACTGAATCAGATCAGTTTTGAAATCGGACCTAATGAACGGGTGGGGGTTGTCGGTCGCACGGGTGCAGGGAAGTCAACCCTCGCCATGGCCTTCTTTCGTATACTTGAGGCAGAACAGGGCTCCATCACTCTTGACGGCATGGACATAGCGGACGTGGCTCTACAGCAGCTTCGCCAGCGTCTTTCGATAATCACGCAGGACCCGCACCTCTTCCCCGGTACTGTACGCTCAAACCTGGATCCTTTTGGTACTCATGACGATACGGATCTTCTTCACGCTTTGGGCCGAGTTCACTGGCCCGGCTCGGATGATTGGTTCAGCGAACAAGCTGATATGGTGTCTGGTTCGGGACTATTTTCAGATGCTGATTCCGTCGTCCCTAGCCTCCAACACGCGACGTCGATCCAGGGTCCCTCACTACTCTACCAACCCATTCTCGATGGGGGAGAGAACCTCTCTCAAGGTCAACGTCAACAACTTAGTCTTGCGCGCGCTATTGTAGATCGCTCGAAGCTTCTCATTCTCGACGAAGCAACATCTTCCATGGATCCCGACACGGATGCGTCGATTCAAAAGTCCATACGTGAACTCTCCACTTGTGGATTTGCATCTATGCTTGTTATCGCGCATCGCATAAGCACGGTCATGGACTTTGATAAGATCATCGTTTTAGACAAAGGAGTTGTCGTGGAGTCGGGTAGTCCTGAAGATTTGCTAAGGCTTCCTGGAGGATATTTTAGAGGTCTAGTTGAAAATTCTAAAGGGACGGATGAATAGCTTTGATTGGAAAAGATAGTATCTGAAGACGGGATGGCTCAAAGTACGATAATGCAAGGATTCGCACGAGGATGCGATCCACTGTTTGGTGATAGAAGGCAGATCGAGCGCTGGTAGCTTGCCGAAGAGTAATTGGGCGTTCTAGGTCACAAAAGCATGCGTAGTAATAGAAGAATATCCTCCTCTTCGACACCAAGGAGTGCAATGCAGTCCCGTCACGCGGTTGGGGCTAATCACATTCAATCACGCAAAATGATCACTCAAACACCCAAATCCACAAGACAAACCTCTCATATTCTTACACATATATTCTCGCACCATCTGGTACTTTAGCTTTTCGCGCACCACTATGTATCGCCCGCCCAATGGGTATCATGCATACCCCCCAGATCCATAACCCATGCTATGCCTTGTCCTGTGTAAAACACTCCAGAAGAGGAGAAAAAAAAGACAAAACGCCCTCGCTATGCATACAAGTGTTTTATATGATACAACCCTCGGACCTCAGACGGACAAGTAACCATGGAGAGACCACACGGAACAAGGGACCGTCCTAATCCGACAACTCAATAGCGTCGTCCTCGGTAGCCCCCGGTTTCTCGTTGCCGGCTAGACCCTCGCTACCACCATCTTCTTCTTCCTCATCATCATCGTCATCCTCATCTTCCTCATCAAAAGACTCTAGCTCCTCCTCGACCTCGTGCTCGTCCTCATCAACCTCCTCTTCGTCAAGCTCAGAGTCCTCATCATAATCAAGCAACTCTTCATCTTCCTCGCCATCATCGAGCATCTCAGAATCCGCGTCTTGCTCTGCTTCTTGATCGTAGTACTCTTCCTTTTGCTCATGTTGCTGCTTGGAGAGACAAGTAGTATACTGAGCACCAGGATACGAGTCCGTAGTACCAAAGTGGTTGTTGTACGACTCAAGTTCATCATCTTCTTGATCAGTCATAATAGCGTTGTTGTCGATTAGAAGAGAATCCCCATTGACAGCCTGGAAATTGCTGGCTGACATGAAATCACCAGTGTACTGTTCTTGCTTGAAGCCCATCGGCTGGGTCTTCGCCTGTTGATTGTACGAGACCTGCGTCGGTATCGGCGAAGAGATATCCAGAGGCTCTGTACTAGCAGGTCGAGTGCTAGCAGGTGACTTGCTAAGACCCTGTTCAATCCTGTAGGCACGAACGGCTTCTGCACCCTGGCCGTAGAGGTGGCGGGGTACAAAGCGGCTCGCGCGATCCCAGTACGCTGGACGGCTCTTTGTCGAGGTGCTGGTGCGGAGCGTATTACCGTACGTAGATGTACCGTATGTAGAGTGCTGGCTTTGCGATGCAGAGAGGCCAAGGTTAGGTACACTACGACTCCAGTCGTGTTGGACGTTTGACGCAGAGGCGGAGGCAGACGTGAGACCCCTAGCTCGTGCGATGAGCTGGCTGGCATTACCATCAAAAGATTCCCTTCGATACATGGACCTGCTAGGGGTAAACGAAGGTGGTGGCATCTCGGCCTTTGAGTTTGCCAGCGTCTGCCGGGCCCTTGCAATGAGACTGCTTGTCGAATCATGGAATGAAGACCGTCCGTTGAAAGATACTGCGCCGTTGAAGGACTGAGTAGGTGATACTGAGGATGCTGACCTTCTGAAAGACTCCTTGATGGCTTCGACACGAGCACGCTGCTCCTCAAGCATAGTCTTCGGTGCGGACTGCTCCTGGTGCTCTGGCGCAGGAGAATCCGGTGATAGCTTGGGTCGCTTGGATTCGATCAGTTTTGGCTTTTCTTCGTCCGATGAGCCAAAGTCAAAACTGCGCTTGCGGTGCTTGCTTGGATCGATGCCTCTAGCCCGTAGCCTGAACCAATCAGTCTCGGTTCGGTCTACGGGTGCATTTGCAACTGCTTGTTGATAGGCGTGCGAGTACGCGGAAATCGATGTGCTAGCGTTGCTTGTGTTCTTGTCGAATGTAGCCTCAGGAGCCGTGTTGTTGGCCGGCGTTGGTGCCGGTTTAGTCGGGCTTACACCATTTGTCTCGGAAGCTTGAGCCTGGTGACGTTCTTGGGTTCGCTTGGCACGCCGACTGTTCTGGGGAGCCACAGATTGCTTCCAAGACGATCGTCCTTCTGGTGGCACCACTGTTGAGGCCTTACCGTTCGAGACCACCGGTTGTACTGGTGCAGGCGTGTCTGCAAGTTGCTCTTCTCCCCCAACCTCTACCTTCGCTCGCTGTTCCTTCAATCGTTTCCTCCTCTCCCGTGCCTTTTGCAGCCGTCTCTTCTTCTCTGCCGCTGCCATCATCTTGGCCAAACCTGCTCGCTTCAACTCTTCCAAGTATTTTTCGTACTTCCGGTCTACCATCGCCACCCTCTTCTCCATTTCTACCGTCATCATAGCCACCCTGGCCATGTTCATGATATCGTTCTCGACAAACTGCATTATCAATCCTTCCTGTGGGTTAAACATTACATCCGCCGTGAGCGCATGCAACGCTGCGTCCTTCTCCCGTATCCGTGCTGCGTGCGCCTCCTCCTCTTGTAGTTTACGTTGCCTTGCCTGTCGTGCCAACTCTTCTTGCTGTTCGCGGGCTTTTCGCTCTCGCTCCGCCTGCGCTTGTCGTTGTTGTGCAGCGGCAGCCTCCGCCGCCTCCTGCTGTCGCCTCTGCTCTGCTTCTTTCGCCTGCTTCGCCTGTTGTGCTTCCCGTACGCGCTGGCGTGCCTCGTCCTCCTTTCGTTGCTTCTCAGCAGCTTCCTGTTTCGCCTGCTCCGCCTTCTTTATTTCCTCGTCTTGTGAAGATGTCTCAGCTGGCGGTGGTGATCCAGCAGGAGTGAAGGAAAATCCTTCCTGTCGTAGTCCATTTGCAGGGGTGGAATTGAATGACGATCCAGTAAAGTTGAAAGCGGAAGCAAGCTTAGGCGTAGTTGTAGGGGCTGATACTGCGGGTTCAGGGACAGAAGCTTCTGGTTGAGTTTGAGGTTTAAGTTGTGAGGGTGCGAACGATCCGGACATGAACGGATTTGCAGGAGTTGGAGGTGTCGTAGACTGAGGCTGTGAGGCGTTGCTCTTCAAAAAAGGGTTCGCGGGGGTCGTTGATGTTGTTGACTCTGACTGCGTAGCATTGTTGAACTTGAGAAATGGGTTTGCAGCAGTCTGTCGTGTAGATTCCGACTGCGCAGTGTTGTTCTTCAGGAAAGGGTTCCCTGGCGATGTCGAAGGAGGAAATGGATTGACGTTCTTTTGCAGGAATGGGTTGGGCTTCGCTTCCGCAGGTTGCGCGAATTGGATGTTGTTCTTTGAAGGATCGAAGAGGCCAGGCTGGATTGCTTTCGCAAACGGATTTGGAGATGTTGTAGAAGCGCCATTAGGCTGGAAGGGAGACGCGGCCGGATTGTAGCCAAAGTTGCCGACGGAAGATTTCGTCTCCATAGCCTGTTGCTTGAAGACGTTGGTCGTCTCCGGAACGAACAGCGAAGATTGGTCATCCATCTGCTGAGCTTGCGCAGTAGACAAACCACCCTTCTTGGCCTCCTGGACGGTCAAGCCTGCAATAACAGCTGACAATGGGCGGCCACATCGCTTTACCTCGACAATCGTTTCGGAGAAGAACTGAGGCTTGACATCGGCTTTCGGAAGCACGTCAGCTTTTCGGTTGAAGTTCTTTTGCTTGATATCCATAAAAGTACGGCCTTCCTCGTTGACCTCGAACACGAAGCCGTGCGCCTCACAAAACTCCACGGCTTCTTTTTCGGTATCCATACCAAGAACTTCCCTCAGCTTGTCCGTTGTCCAAAACTCGACGGGGACTTGATGCCTGTACAGACCGACCCGATAACAACGCCATACTACATCAAGCACAACGTGGCGGACCCTATTGAAAGATATAGCCGCAGCACATGCCATGAGATATGACACCCTTGGCGACTTGACCAGATCCCAGAATCGCTTCCAGTTGGACTGGCACTGCACGAAGCTCTTGTAGTTGTTATGAATGATGATGGTTTTGAGGAGGCGGAAGATCTCTAAAGCGGTCTGCACTCGTGGGTTGTTTCGTAGGTCGCTAGGTAGACGATGGAGTTCATTCTCAAGCTGGGTACTGGCGTAGATGGGGGCTAGAATCAGTCGGTATGCCCAGAATTCGGCTTCGCATTCTGATATGATGTTGGCCCGTCGGTTGTCCGCATATCGCTCTTTAAGTGAGATGAGCGTCTGGTTCAGCTGCTCGACGTCTTGTTGATGCGAGTAATCGTCCTTTGTACTCCGTGCCATGTGGTGGGCCGAAAGCATATAGAACCGGGCGCTGTACTCGAGGGATGTGAGCAGTATGGCGATGTCGGCTCTGTTTTCGATGCGTTGCGTCCGGAGATCTTTTCGAATGGCTCGCGTGCGGTCCCAGAGCCATGAGTGAAGGAATTGGAAGTCATCTTCATCTAGGCGTCCGTACAAGTATTTGAGGGTTCTCTGCAGAAATTAAATCACGAACATGTATAGACTGCTGCTAACTTACCAAGCAAGTTGGCGGCGACCGAATCTCCGAGACCAGCTCCACGTCCATGCCTGCCGCTGAGCGTGCATATGCCTTGACCATGCGCGACTCGTCTGCGATGCGTTGACTACGGGACGGTAGGTGTTGGGTCTCGGGTGTACATTCTGGCGCCTTGACATCCAGTTCGACTATGCGACGCACGCGCTCGTATTCTGGACACATCTCCTGGCACAAGCCGTACAGCTTGACGGAATCGACCAGACGCATTTGGCCCTCTGGGTTCATCAGGCCGTCGCGAATGAACTTTTCGCGTATCTTGGGGCGCTCCGCTTTAATCTATGACTGTCAGTACTGAACAGCTGCGGAGATATCCATAGTCCTTACGTGTTGTAGTCGCTTCTGGTATTCGTGGGGCGCAAACGATGGCGTGCTCGACGCGCCGAAGTGGCTTGTATTAGAAGAGTTCCTATAAGAGTCATGTTAGAGTAGGCCGCGAGCGGCCGTGGGAGGCCCTCGTCTGGTATGCATCGCAACGATGGCGGTGGTGTAGTATGCTCCTGGTGACGGCGCCATCGGTCCGCCCGCGCCCTGTGCTAAGGTCAGAGTGGGTATGCAGACTTACGAATTGCTGTGGTTGTTCTTCGCATCCGCGCTCCGTCCTCGTCCCTGTCCGGGTGTGTATAGGCCTTGCGCCGGTCGCTCCTCGTTTTGCGCATTGTTTCTACCGCGCGCGCGATTGGCATTGAAATTGTTGCCGCCTTTTGGACCGCGTCCCCGATCGCCTCCGCCGCCATTCTTTCCGCCTCGTGGTGTCGCCATGGTCGCGACTCTGTCACGAAAGGTGTTAGTTCGCGATCAATCCACGTCAACGTCACGGCCGGTGTGCATGCGACAAAGAGGTTTGGTGCGGGCGAGCGTTTGGCAGTCGTGATTTGGGCTGCTTGGCCGAGTCGGGTTGGATGCGACTGGCGGTTGCTGCTGAATGCAACAAAGGCCCATGAATGTCGCGAACAAGAGAAGCCGTGAGCTCAGAGCCCGGGCCCGTGACGCGGTCGGGCGCCTTGGCATACGTGTGGCTGGAGCCCCGAGTCTCCGCCCTTAGTTTCACACTTCCGCCTGCAACTCTCTCCTCAGCGCCACTTCACCCGGAACTTCACGCATAGCATCCATGTCTTTGATTCGATATCTTGATTCGATATCTAACATACCCGAAATACTGTTCATAACCATGTTTTGTGTCCACATGTCTTTCCCACCACTCATTTACCGTTGCATGGCTATCGACCACCCACACAAGCTGGCCATCTCCCCACATCCTCTTCCATAAAGACCAACTACCCCAAGCTTTTGTACAACGCCTTCTAGCAAGAACAGTCCCAAACCTAGGAAACTCGCCTGGTATCCAATTATCTCCTCCACTAGGCAGCCATGAACTTTTGTACCGGCGTCGTTGCAATGCAGTCGTGAGCGTCGTGAGCGGCGTGACGTCGTATGGGGTATATTGCAAGACGCGGGCGATCGAGAAAGGTAAAGCCAAGAAAAACGCACCGAAACATGTTCCAGCGAGTGTGCCGAAGCATCCAGCATGGCAGGGTACCAAGTCGCTGTGCTGGAACAGAAGCTCAATAGACGTGGCAGCAATACAAGACGAGAAGGAGAACGTTACATTCGTGAGTCGTTTCGAGGACATGACAACTAGCAACAAAAGGACCAAGACACAATCATGTAGGCAAATGCGACAGATGCACGCTAAGTCGCAAGCAGTTAATAGAGAGAAGCTTCTGGTTGACAGCTGATGCTGTTCACAGTAGGTAAACCATCGAAGAATCGCGGGACAAACACGTCATGATAAACAGGAAATCCAGCGCTGCTTTCGAACGTTGAAATTTCAGCTTGAGGATGGTAGGCTGGGAACATGGAGAACGGCTGCTCGTATCCAGATGTGGTCGCTGGGATTATGTCGGATCGGCGGACACCCTGTTGGGGCTGTGGGATATGATGGTAACTTGGAAGACCGTTTGGGTACTGCATTGATTTGTCGTAATCAAAGTTACTGTGGCATGAAAACCGACCCTGGTACGGTACATGGTCGGCCAGCTTGACGTCCAAATCCATGTTGTCGCCCACGTGACAAGCGTGCATCGACTGACCAAAGGAAGAGTTGAGTGTTGTGGAGCTGCCCACATGCATGTGTTGTAGGTGCGGAGCTGGATCTCCATGACTTGGAGCTTGCGCCTGTTGTCGCGGCTCTCGAACCTGTCCCTCTATTCGCACATGCGACTCGGTTGCGGTGTTGTCGACCCCGGTGTCGTGGCCAGATTCGTGGGCGTCATACGCTGTTCTTGATGCTGGCCTTGTCCTGGTCTGTCGAACACGCTTCCTAGGGGCGGGAGCCTGCCGTGGTGGTCTCGTAAGTGGCTGCCAGGTCACATGTATGCCTATACCAGGATCCCGATTGTTTGTACCTTCATAGAGGGTATACCTCGCAAAATGTTCCTGGTATGATAGTGCGATGTCGAAAAGATTCGGTATGATGTCGCCCAGAGCTCGCCCTTGCATCCTCTCACTAAACGCAGAACCTTTGGACGAGGAGAACTGATCCGGTGGTGTTGTTTCTACGGCATAGTGCGCTGCATTCCTGAGCCTGGTGACCCAGTCCATGTTACGCTTGCCCACGTCGATATTGCGGTGCTGGAGCATGAGATCGACTGCTAATGTCAAGAGTCCTGTAAAGAGTTAGTTGGCATCCGATCGCGAACAGGAATGACAGCTTACCATCTTTGTCCAGGTGAGAGGGCTCTTCATAGGGCACATCCCGGGGCCACCAAGGTGGGGTACATTTCTGAGGCTGTTCATTAGGCAACTTCTTGTGATATGGGCCGAACCGGGTCAAACGCTTCGGCTCCAGTAGCTTGACCCAAGCCGTGACGATAGGCCGTACTGGCTTCATGGTAAGTTCGTCCAGCCGTTTTCGGAAGAAGCGCTTGAGCTCTTTCACGTCGCCAATGTAGAAGGTGTGAGACTTTGCGGCTGGCACACTGACATCTCTGTCGTCGCATTGTTCGTCATTCCCGTCGTCGCTAGGCTGCCGAGCCACGGTTCGACTCAGGCGTCCTCTTGCTTGTGACCGAGTTCTCTTACGCTTCTTAGTCTGGCGTTCTCTCAACAGAGCTGGACCAATTAGCGAAGGGAACTTTCAGAGCAAGCACTCGATCTTACCCGGTACCTGGGATACGATAGACTGGCAGACTGGCGTCGCAACAGCCCTAGGCGATTCTGCCGGATGGGGAGGTTCCTGCAACTGTGCTGGGCCGTTGAATAGATGTTCGAAGCCGGGGATTGGCTTAAAGACGCGCTCTTCACGACCGTCAGGCGAGATGACCTTCCAACAGCCGATGGGTGTCGGGATGGCGACAGCCTCCTCTGGTTCGTCCTGCTTGACGGTGGCTTCGATAGCTTGCGAGGATATTGCCTGAAGGCGTCAGCATATATGCCCATCGTTATTACCGATTATACCAGGCGTATGCCGGTCCCGGTTGTTTGGGTCACGGCAGCCGCTAAATGTGGCGCCATCCGCTGGAAGCGCAGGAGCGAGCCGAAACCTTATCAACTCCCCGAGACATGAAAAAGAAACAACACTCACAGACGACTTCCCAAACTCATCGCCACCATGAACCATCGCCCAAGAGTCTGCCCCACGTCGGTCACCCGTCATGGCAGCGCCATCGCTCGTCTGCATCGGCTGCCGGTCCCTGGCGGGAGGGGCCGATGGGTCCACGGGCCGGAACTTCGCCATGCAGGTGGGTAATTATGGAGTTGCAGCTAACAGAGCCCACGAACTACTCGATGGAACGCCTCTACTAATATAAGAGCATATATCGTCGTCCTGTGGCGCTCGAGAAGAACAAAAAAGTAAGGACAGGCTGCCCATTAGTCAGTCGAATCCTATACCAAGCGGAAACCACCTCATTGGAGCAACAATCGAGGCGAAATGAATGGTCAAGATCGGGATGATCGAGACGTGACTCGCTGAGCATGGTCCTGAGCTGCGCACACTTCGCTTAACATCTTGCGCTGGAATTGCTTACCGGAAAGAGCCAGATCCGGGCCAGATCCAACTTTTGGACGAACGAAAGATGCCCCTCTTCTTATTGCAGATCCGGGATAAGTCTGCGCTCGGTGTTGGGTTCAGTTATATCGCGAAGGTGTCACTACATCTACCATCGAAGAGACTCGACTAGTCACGATCTTCCTAGCGACTCCGAAGGTGTTTGGACGAGGTACCAGTAGCTATTTGGGGGAAGCTAGTTGCGCGACCAGGGGCGGGCGGTACTCCAGTCTGACTGGTTTTTGCGAATATTGTCCGCGCCGAAGTTGTGAACCTAAGCAGAGCCGCAGTATCTAGTGTAAAAAAGCAACGAATGAGCCCTCAATGGAACAACGATAATAGGACCGAATATATTGACCAGGCTCTCAGGTTATGAAGCAGGCCTCACTTCATTATAACAAGCCGTAGATCTGTCGACTCCTATCTCCTGCACACTGCACCTACCCTCACACGCATACATTCAGCGACGACAGGCGTCTTGACCTCTTCAAGCAAACACATAGAACACGTCGCATGGAACGCCTGTCCGCGGACAATGGACCAAGGGCTATAGTAGCCGTTGAGCGACAGGAGGCGTCGACCTGGGAGTCTGGATTAGGGCTTGTGGAGGTGTCTCTTGCGTCTTCCCACTCCCCCGAATGTACGCCGTAACTCTATTCAGAGACTCTGCGCTCCCATTGAGTAAACGTCGAATTGGAAAAGTGACCAGTTGCGGGACGGACAGGGATCCTGACGTTGTTCCGCATGAGTGTATACACACTAGTGCTGAAGCCTGTTCCGCGGAGTATACAGAGTCCTCGTGATCGATCCCATCTGAATGATGCCAATCTACGATTAGTAGTTCTGAACAGAAACCCTTTGAGAGATGATCACACGCTCGCCATCGCAGTAGACACAATTACATCAACGCCAGACTTCGCGCCCATATTGGTAGCAGCTGCAGCTTTCTCGACCCCACGTATACACATCCCACGCAAGCCATCAAGCTAGTCCACACTGCGATGAAATCTACGATGGTGTCTCGCCCAGGGCCAGAAGCCGTTTAGGCATCCAGATACCCCACGGCTTGCATCTATCCCTGTGATTGCCCTCACTGTTCTACTTTCGCTTACCACATTGCCGCCAGTCATAGCACGAATGTACAGCACGAGGCTTGCGCATCACATGTGGCAAGAGCGCTAAACAGATGTACCCGCGTCCCCGAACCACAGGAACAAAGCCCTCAAACAGCCGAAGGGTCTTCATCCTTACGACACTGCGTCCATTCTAGCGCCACGGGCTGCATCTAAACGAAGTACACAAGAATTCTTCACGGAATCCTTTCGATCTCGGTCAGGCCCGCGCGCGTCCATCCGCTTACCAGGCTATTGGCGAGAGATTGAAATCAATCTGGCTCGATACGTTTGATCGATACGATTTCATGCGAGTTGGCACAAGACAAGTTAGACAGGTTTTCCATCTCGCTAGTTATTTGCGCACAGTTGCTATACGTGATGGACTGATCTCTGCAGATTGCCGCACGATGCGTCTACCCTTCTGCTGTTTCACTCTCATCATGTGAAGACACTGACTCACAGACAACAATTCGTCGTGTCCACACGGCTTGCCCCTGAGCTCATGTCGTATCGAAGACCCAGACCCGGAACCCAGACTTCTTCCGCGCTACACTGGAATAGCATAGCGGAGATAACGTGCCACATCGTCGCACCACTTCTACCAAGACGGCTACGGGCCGCTAGCCTACAACTAAACCTACACTAGACGCATAACAGAACCATGCTCGAATACTGACCTGGACCTCGTAGCCAGTCACGCCACTGATCCTTCCTCACTAAGATCCGGCATATATGCGCCACTACGTAGAAGCGGAAGGTGATGTACTTTGTCAAAGGAAGCCGTGACACGCTGGTCTATACCACGGCGTCTCTGCCTCTCGTGTCAGCAAGGTAGCAAACGTCGCTTACACAAAGCCTCTGCACAACGCTTCGACGTCAAAAGATCGCCTGGGATTCCTTATTTGCACCAATTGACACCGATTATGAACGCCATGCTCTCGTGACGAGGACGCACGGGTACCGTAACGTGCCGCGAGATCCCTCCCATGTAGACGCCTATTGGGTCGGTAATCTTTCTCCAACGTGCGTTTCTGCGATGGCTATCTAGATGCTGAATAAGAGTGCATGACGTTCACCGCTAGATGACGATACACTGCGGCAACGGGGTTCGGAAAGCGTGGACGATGAAACGTTTGCTCCGATGTTCAAGTAACCATGCTGCCAAAGATAGACACAATGGAATGGCGATCACCTGACTATGATCGTTCATTTCGTATCTGTCGTGGGAGGAGCGCCTAGGCACTGCTTTCACCGCTGCGCTTGGCAACCTCGATTCATGTCCAGAATCTCTGTCGGGTAACGGCCGCTGTAGGATGCCAGTCGCATCTCAGATTCCTTCCAGTCATCTCACCTCACCATCCGATTACAACGGCCGCTGTAACCCTTGCGGAAAGAAAGTTGATCCTTCCGAATTTTCTCCCGGGGAATTGATACCCGATACCACGAGAAGACTTGGCTAGAAGCAAATGACCAGCCAAGGTCCTGCTTCTCAACATATCCAACATGATAGATGTGGATATCGTACACACGGTCATGATATCTCCTTCCTCTCACGCGATGGAGGATGATATACCCACTAGGGCCGAGTGTTGTTTTGTGGCTTATCAACCGTTTATGCATAGCTTGACGCGTGATATCACATTTAGACAATCTTAAGATCCCACAAGACCCACGAAGACACCAAACCATCTCTAGTCTTCTTGGAAGTGGTGACGCCTGAGAAGTGTATCAATCCGACTCACTACTCGCAATACAGCTTGTATGAAGGTCTTGGCGTGATATCACGACACCCTCAAATGTTGACTCCAACATAGGGTATCGTATCCACCCACCTATCATCCGGAAAACATGCTTAGTTCTAGGAAAACTTGCAAGTTAAAACAGTATTACAATTTTATACACACGTCTACCAAGATTAACATCCTTTTTCCTTTTCTTTTCTCCATCTCCACATCTCTCCACCAAGCCATATCTCTACATCCTGCCACACTCCACGTAGCAAGCGAGAATACACTCAACCAACGCCATCCGCGTGGTCTCTTTTCCACACATGCGTCCCCAACGATGCCAATCGTGGAAGCGTCCCGTCCACATTGAGTCCGCAATCTCTTTCCCCTTGATCTTCATCATACCCCATCGCACATATCAATCATATTTTCTTTTTTTGTACCAGGGCTAATCACTTCACCTAGACGACTGACTCATATCCAAACTATTCAACAAACCCGCCTCACGCACCAATTCGTAAAACAGGCCCTTCTGCCTGACGAGCTCAGCAGGACTATCAAACTCTCTCACCTCGCCCTTGTCCAAGACGATGATGCGATCGCTGTCTAGAATGGTGTTGATGCGATGCGCAATGGTGATGATGGTCCTGTTGTTAAACATGCTAGTGCGGAGGGTAGTTTGCAACATAGCATCTGTTTCGACATCGACAGCGGCGGTCGCTTCATCGAGGACGAGGATGTTGGAAGGAGTGAGCAGGGCACGGGCGAGGGAGACGAGCTGGCGTTGACCGGAGGAGAGGTTGGAGCCGCCTTCATTGATGGTGGCGTCAAGTTGGCCGGGCATGGAGGAGATGTGGTCCTTGAGACGAGCGTGATCTGTTGGTTCAATTAGATGGGAGTCCGAGATACATATTTAATGGTGACTTACCTAGTACACTCCAGAGTTCAGTATCGTCGTGAACATGTCCTGGGTCAAGGTTGTCGCGCACAGTGCCTTCGAAGAGCGCTGCGTCTTGTGGAATAATGGCCAAGCGTCTGCGGAGGTCGAGAAGACCAATGGTACTAGTGTTGAGATTGTCGATGCTCACGTTACCCTCTGCAGGCTCAATGATACGGAACAATGCGAGAGTCAGTGAACTCTTGCCAGCACCGGTACGACCGACGACACCAATCTTCTCCTTTGGCTTGATAGAGAGATTGACGTTCTTCAGCACCAAATCAAGACCAGGGCGGTATCGGGTGCTGTAGTTGTCAAAAGTGACAGCACCCTGAGACGGCCAGCTAATTGGTGGCCTGTTCTTGGAGATGATCTCAGGCGCCTCGCTGGGTAGTGCGGCATACTCAAGCACACGTTCAACAGAAACGATATTAGTCTCCACCTCAACAGTCTGACGAACAATCCAGTTGAGGCTCTGCGTAATCTGAAGAGCGTACGACATGGCCAGACCCACCATACCGGCTGATAGGCCGCTGTGGCTGGCGACGGAAATAATGGCAAAACCAGCAGCAGCCAAGATGATGACTGAGCCAAGGAACTCCAGACGAACAGCCAGCCACCGGTTAGCGCTAATGGAAGGGTAGTATGCACGCAGATTGGCGTCGACACGCCATTCATTCTCCATTTCGAAACGCTTCTGCTGGTTGTACGCACGGATCGTGCTCATGCCACTGAGACTCTCCTGGAAGTGGGCATAGATCGGGCTGCGGCTAACGCTGTCCAAGCGCTTGAGCTCGCGCGAGGTGCGCAGGTAATATCGCTGGATGTAAAGGTAGAGTGCGCCGAGCGGCAGGATGAGAGCAACGAAAACTGGGGTCGACCACGAGATAACAACAAGGGTGAACCCGGCTACATCGGTCAGTCAACTGTGACACAAAATGGGATGCGTGTGGGGGTGGCTGCATACCTCGAGCGGAGTTGACGAAGAGCATGTTGAACGTTCGGCTAGAAGCATCTGTTAGAAAGCCACCGACAGATGGTTGGAAGAATAGTAATCAACTCACGCTAGAACTTCGTCGACTCGATAGATGTCACTGTCAAGCAGATTAGCCAGTGTTGATATGCAAACAGGGTCAAGGCGCATGCTCCGCGGGAAGGCGGAAACACGGCTATCAAGGGGCAAGGGCCGGACCGCGGGCATGAGCCTAAGTGTGGAAGATGACCTACCTTGAGAATCGGTTGAGAATGCGTCCTGCAGGTGTTGTCTCGAAGAAGCTCATTGGAGAGCGGAAGATGGCAAACGCCATCCGCTCGTGTAGCTTTCGGCTAGCTTCGATGGAGCAGAAAATCCAGAGAATCAACGTCTGCACGACGACAAGGGCAGCAGATCCCACACCAAACGCGAAGTAGATACCGATGTATTTCCCCACATGAGGGTTCCCATGGGCCTTCTGGTTCATCTCCGACCAATGTTTGAGCCATACACTTGCGCCTGCATGATGTTAGCGTCAACCCCGAGAAGACGAAAAAGCGACGAGCCAATAGCGTGCTACTCGCGCCTCTAGCGATATGAAAACACCCATGATCCTGCGACTTACCAATTGATGATGTCTGGGCTCCCAGGAGGAGCAGCAGATAGATTGTAACAGCTGCAAGATTACTGGTCTTTGCGTATTCGCCGTAGACGGACCACTTGACCTTGCCCTGCTCGGAGAACTCCTTGGTCTGCTTGCTCTTCAATCCGCCGCCCTCTTCATCGGTGAGCTTTCCACGAGGTCCCTTAAAACTTGCAGTACTAGCGCGGCGAAGAGTCTGGAAGCTCGACTTGCGGGCCGTACCGCCTCCGACCCTCAAAGGAGCGAGATGCGCGCCACCTTCCTGGGCAGCCTCAGCTTCAGCTTGATCTTCCTCGTCGTCTTCGCCAGGACTACCACCGTAGACGGTAGAGTCTTCGTCGCTCATGATGCTGTCGGATGTGCGAGTGCTGTCATCTTCTCCTTGGTCTTCGTTTTGGGATGTCTTGATCAGTTGAGCAATCTCGCCTTTCATGGCCATTAGTTGTCCATAGCTGCCTCGCTCCAAAATCTTGCCTTCGCGTAGAAGTAGGATCATGTCTGCTTCCATCAAGACCGGGATAGAGTTGGTTGCCAGAATCCTGGTCTTGCCTGCAAGCAGACCCTTGGGACCAAGTACGTTGTCGATGAGGTGGCGTCCGACGTGCTGGTCAACAGCCGATAGACAGTCGTCCAGAAGGTAGATATCCGCGCGAGCGTACACAGCACGAGCAAGTGTAAGACGAGCCTTTTGACCACCCGAAAGTGAGATACCTCGTTCACCAACCTCGGTCTGGTCACCATCAGGAAGTGATGCAAAATCATCTCGTAGAGCACAAGCGTTGACAGTCTTCTCGTAGAACTGAGGATCCCAACGATGACCAAATACAATGTTCTCACGAACAGAAGCGTTCATGACCCAAGCTGACTGTGGAACATAGGCGGTCTTTCCACGGAGCACAACCTCACCATGGATTTTCCAAAGATCACCGAGCACTGCTTGAAGAAGCGAAGATTTTCCTGCACCAACGCGACCGACGATACACGCGAGATCTCCCTTGTGTGCGGTGAAGTTGATGTCGTGAAGGGCTCGGCGCTCAGCATTCCTGTCCCAAGTAAAGCTAGCATCACGGATGCGAACTGACTCATCGCCAATCTCGACCACGGCGTCTTCACGGATAACAGCGTCCTCCTGCAACTCATCGGCAGTCAGGTAGCCAGTGATACGGCCAACAGCTACGCTAGCCTCAACGATGGCAGTGATGACCATGGGAAGGATAGCAAGCGGGAATGTGAGGAGGTTGAAGAGCGTCAGAGCAGGGAAGACAATGTCAGTCGTCAAAGCACGGTTTTGCGTCAGAACGAATACACCGAAAGTTGAGCAGGAGACCAAGAATGGAGTGGTAGACCAGGTGAAAGTCGAGAAAGCTTGAGTTGCACCGATCTTGCGTAGGGTCTTGAGTTCCTGGTCGTTACGGATGGTGTTCAAGCGGTTGGCGAAGGCGGTTGTCCAAGCATAGAGTTTGATCGACTTCATGTTGTTGAGAATCTCAGAGATGAGTTTGGTACGCGAATCCTTGTTCTTCATTTGCTCCTTCTGCAGAGTCTTCATCCATCGTGCAATCACACCGTTGATGGGAATCATTACGAACATGGCGGCCACACCTGCGAAACAACTAACACCGAGCAACTGGTACAGTGAGAGCATGCACAAGATGATTTGGAATGGGGCAGACCACAGTTGTTGACCGTATTGCGCAAGATCCTGCAGACGCTGTGTATCGACGGCCATGTAGTTGACGATATCACCAGTTGACTTCGATGCACGACCTTCGTTGGATAGACGAGTAGATTTGGAGTAGATGGCAGCCGTAAGGGACGACTTGATGCGCATACCGGTCTCGAAAGAACGTTGAAAGTACTGGTGCAGACAGGCGGTCTGGGAGACAGACACGGCGAACATGGCGAGCGCGATAGCGGCGCCACGAATGAGAGGCTGAGGCTCTCCGGGGTAGTCCTTGCGGTACGAATCGACAAAGGTGATCAGAAGTCTGAGCAACTGAGGTTGAGCGAAGTTCAGGACATCGCTCACAGTCTTGATGGCAGCGCCGCGGAAGTAAGGACCGCCGAACGAGCGGAACATTGCCAACCACAGTGAAGGGTGCTTCTTTTCCATCTCATATTGCCAAGAATCCTCAAATGTCTGCGAGGTGTGTCGAGTCGTGTCGCGCTTTCGCAGGTTCCAGAGATCGTCCTGGGTAAGGAAATTCTTGTAACCCTGCTTCATCAGAGGTGTCATCCAACCAAATGTCAAGACGGAGAAGACGTCTGCATATTCGTATGGACATTCATCGTCGTCTCCAAGCATGTCGTAGTCGCTCAGGCGCTTCGGAACCAGCCATTCCAGAATGAAAGATAGTCCGGCCAACCCAACGCTAGCACAGAAGACTGCGAAGTATGCCACATGTTCACGGTGTACCTGTTGTGAAACGAGGGAGCGGAGCTTGACGGCATATGCGAGCAGCAGGAAGAGCCAGTAGAAGAGGACCACACCGTTGGCATTTCGCGAGCGCCAGTGTTCGATGTATTGGATATAGAAGACGACGCCGAGTGAGACGATGGTGATAATCGATGTCCAGAAACGGAAGTCGCCGGCCCATACGTCCTTGTAGTACTCGATCTGAAGCGCGGCTTGTACGGCCGTAGTGGCGATGAGGGCGCCGAGGGATATCTGGAGGCGCAAAATGTTAGCAACTGTCCAGCCGAGTCACCTGATGGTCTCTGGATATTCTCCGTACCAGCTTCGCGTAAAAGTGCCAATTGCGCTTTACAGGCTGAGGCGGGCACTTCCTGTAGAGATACCACAACGCGCCGGCGCCTCCCACAATCCCAAATACTCCGACAACGGCTATCCACACATCCAGGAAACACGGTGTGAAGTCGTATCGTATAGGGCTGATCGGGCCCCAGCCCTCGCTATTACCGCATAATGGCTGCCGGTCGTGCTTCGAGGCTGTCAGATAGCCGTGCGCGAGCGGGATGCTGGGGAGAAAGGGCGTCTGTTGTTGGCCTTGCATCGATCGGATGGTGCTTGTGATTGCCGGGACTCTGTGTATCGCAGAGTTGAGGCAGATCAGGGCGTCGAAGGCGGCGAGAAGGTGTTGAAGCGGTCGCGGCGCGAGTGCACTTTTGAGTAGAGAGCTCGGGCCGTCGGTATGATATAATCATTGCTGCTTACTAGCCCTAACTCCCGCTAACGCCGCAAGCTAGGCAGGCAGCTAACGTCGCATATGTGGTAATGGACGATGCGACGACGTGATGATATGAACGACCTGAATCAACTAGATTCTTTGTATATACGATCTCGCGCGGCATAACGGTTGCGTGGCTGTCGTGTGGAGGCGCGTACCTAGGTACCGTCGCCGCGTGCAACACTGCCGCAAACGTCGCGAACCGATGGGCCGGTCTTTGTCCGATCCCCATCCCAGCGAACAGGTTCGCAGAAGTCAGAACACCAGATCACGTGCGCATGCCATTTCCAACTACAACTTGCGCGAGTACTGGAGAAGTTGTTCGTCGCCAACTCGCACCATAACGTCTAATGCTGATCTCGTACAGTCACAGTGGTGGCTTGAGAACAGAAAAAGCAAAGTGGTGGGGCATGAAGTGCCAGCTCGACTCACTCAAGGCACGAGAAAGATGCGCGGCTTCAACCAGGAAAAAACTTATCGAATACTAAATCAGCCTACAGCGCATAGGAAACGAAAGTCTTCCTGTATCAAACCTTTCACATTAGATCATTGAATTGCGTTGTGATGCCCTGCCTCAACAGCAACGCTCCAATCTATCGCACGGCGATAGAGGTTCTTTGAACATTGAAATGTGGCTCGTTAACTCTATCGAAAAAAAAACTCTTCAATAAGTATAGCATGGCGATATGACAGTAAGCCGAAGCCTCTTCTGCGCAGTATGTTGATGCCTGTGCAACGACGCTTACTTTGCTACAGCTGCAGAAGCCTGGTACATTCATCCACTATCCGGTCTAGTGGTTGAGACACGTCTATAATAGGAACGTCTGCGCCACAGCTGGATGAGGCGTCTGCTGGATGTAGCTCCGTGGGCACCTATTGGTGAGTATCTTGAGCTAGGTCCATCAAGTACGCATCTCCCCTCCGCTTGCATGCTGTATGCTGTTCAGCTTGGCTTTTCAAGAAAGCTACTAAGGCAGGTCCCTGCCGCCCTTGAAGCTCATGTGATGTGCGCAGTCTGCCCTTCGTGATCATACGAATTGTTTCCTACACTCAACGACTATAAGCATTTCCCGGGTGCATTTGTGCGATGTCTCGGAACTCTGGCCTGCGAAACGAGGAGTATGAGATGTCTTTATCTGAGCCGAGATCTTCTCAAGATGAGATAGAAGCGGAACTGCCTGTCATTCCGACTTCAGGACACGATGAGAGCTATGAAGACCTCATTGACGACAGACAGAGACGTCAACAAGCAAGTCAAGCGAGTCCAATCCCTCGATCTTTGCAGAAGTTTTTCCTAGTTAAGTGGTTTCATGATGTAAGGAAGTATGGCCATCCACAACTCAAGCAAACTGGCTTGCTCGTCGAGAACTTTAATAACGGGGCCACTAGCAAACCTGAGCAGCTCGAGAAACCATGGACGCCTGGGTCTTGGAGTAGCTTCCCCAAGCTTGGTTTGTTGTCACTCTTCGGTGTCTTTGCAGGTGCGTACCAGCTTCCAGGTCAAAGCCCTATCCGGGTTGTTGATTATGTAACCTCCAGGTACGATAGCAACAATTATACTCCTGAGTACCAGTCACAAGACCCCCGTTGATAGTTGGAGCAATGGGATCGGCCCGCCAGTCTATCTGGCCATTGCCTCAGCTGCATGTAATGGACTTTTGTCCTACGCTCTCACCGAAGGCCTGACTATCTTATTCTGGAGGAAAGCTCTGCATGGATTTACAGTCAGTATTATGAATCCGAGACGTTCCAGCTAACCATGAGTAGCTGTCGGAACTAAGTCGCAGCTGGCTTTGCGGACTGTCATTGAAACATGCCTTCTTCAAGGGTTATCGTGCTGGGGGCAAAATTGCTTCCTTAGGTCTGTTGCCCTCACAAACAAGGAGCTTAGCTGACCATGAATAGCATGTATCTTGACTGTCTTGTCTCTCCTTCGAGGGCCTCTAAACCAAAGAGCTTCTATCGTACAAAGTAACGTCAGATACCCAACTTCTGGTAGCTTGGTTCTTGCAGTAGCACAACAGCTGCCGGAAGGATATAGTGGCACCCCTGTCTATTCGAGAGGATGGACGAATCGGAGAATCGCAAGTTTGACCCCTGACTTCGCCAGAGTGATGCAAGAATACTCTGTACGATCCAATGTAACTATTGAAACGGATCGGAAATCTTGTGGAGATTCTTGTTCCATGGCAGTGAAGGTATCTACTTCGATGCTGGATGTATCGTGACAAACCCCCAAGCTAACATATCAGGGTTTCGGATTCACATCAGAATGTTCCGAATACGAGTCGTTGACCACGCACAACGCAAGACAAGCCTTCTCTCAGAAGCTCTTTTCGGTCGAATCGAGTTTCTACAATGCCGACAATCAAACGGATGACCGTCCGAGTTGGAGTAACACCGGTATACGCCTCAATGCTACCTACTGGGTTCCTCTTAGAAGCGGCGATACTCCAACCCAGAATTCTAGGAGCGATCCACTCATAGCAGCGTATCGTTTGCGGTCACACGTCTGCTATCTCACAGGCAGCATACTACAGTACCAGATCGAATTAACTTCACGATCAGTGCTTCTCAGCCCAAATCGCTCAGATGATACATTCGTCCAAGCCATGTAGGTCGCCTTCAGCTCACTTGTTGTGATTTCTTACCAATAACATTTGCTCAATAGTGCCATGCAAGATCCCTTCCTCTGGGGAGGCAGTAAGGATACCAAAATCGGAGGCTTCCAATACGCTATGTCTTATCTCTTCGCATCGAGTGTGGTCTTCAATTTTGGCGGCGCTGTAAGCAGTAACGTGTTCGAGGGGTCTCTAGCTAACGAGATGGTGCGGTTCGTCAATCGCGAGATCATCTGCCAGGATCCAATGGACCGGATGCTCGATGCGCTACGAGAAATAACCTTCCGTACAGCAGTAATTGCGGGCAAAAATGCCGACACTCACAACATCACCAATGCCGTTCAGCAGGTGGAGTATCAAGGCTATGAGCTCCAATCAATATACATAACAGATTGGAAATTTATGGCCATTGCAGCCCTTCTGAGTTGCTCAAGTATTATCGCAGTTGGGGCAACATTTTACGGATGGTGGGAGCTAGGAAGGCCGTTCTCCATGGGTCCGTTGGAGCTGGCATCGGCGTTCGAGGCGCCGCTACTGAAGGCTGCTTGCGAAGATGCGGGTTTGGACAACGATACGCATCGAACTACTGCGCCCGAACCACGTGTGCAGTTTGGTGAGAAGGTGGTGGATGATGAGGGGCAGTTTCCGTCCAGCACAGCAAGTCGAAGGTTGGTTTTGGGGTTGGCGACAGATGTGCAGAGGCCGAGGAAGGGCACGATGTATAGCTAGGTAGTCAATAAGCAAGATATCCCCGATGGGACTAAGACCAATCCGATGTTCCGTCGAGATATCCATCATGTCGACGTCGGGTCACGTTCACGTGCTACGCGTTTCGAGCGACGCGACGTTTCGTGATGTGAACGCGTCAGGGCTCCGTGTGGCGGTACGGTGCGGCGTAAGCGCATCACCAACACCGCGTCCACTGGCAACCAGGATCACCGACAACCTCTACACGACCGACTCCGTAACTGGTGGGCCAGGGCGACAACAAAGTCTTGACCGACACATGCATCTTCTTCCGCCGCGCATGAGCGAGTATACTGAAGCAACTCTGCGCATCACGTTCACTACGCCGAAAACCTTCACGGCCATGCGAATGGCAGCTAGTATCCTAGCGTATCACACACAGCATTTGGCAGGCTTCGTACAATGGGGACAAAGACATGCTTGCAGCATGTAGGCCAATGCCAACTCGTACAGATCAAATCCAAGGTTCGACCGACGTCGGCCCACTTAGCGACACACGTGCAGCACTGCAAGTCGAGAACCGTTCCCACTGGACACCAGGGGCCCGCGACCCACAACTTCGGCTTAGTACGCAATATAATGGCGGGTTGCAGCGAACTTCGACCTCCTCACTGATATAGATTCGCAATTCATTTCCTCGGCTTTATGTATTTTGACGTCCACTGATTCTTTCACATACGACCATAGGACACTGAAAATTAGGCTTCCCGTCCGCTCAGCCATATACAAGCAGTGTACCGGCGGATTAGTAGTTAGGTGGGTGACCACTAGCGAATCCCCGCTGTTGTATGTTTTTGTTTTTTTGGTACATCCACAACTCCAGCTTAGCACGCAATACGATAGCAATGGGCAGCGAAGTCCGCTATGCGCATGTTGATGTAGAGCTGTCATTTGTTTTGATGGCTTCATATATCTGACCAACCACCATTTTCTTTGCATGCGATCATCGGACATTGAAAATTAGAATATCATTCCGACTCATCAAATATCAAGATACCGTATCAGGGTCATGTAGTGAACATCAAGCAACTGTAACTAGCTCACCATTCTTAGGTATAAGGGTCTCAATGAGATTAGGCGGCTGAAAACGAGTTGAATTACAAAGTTATCGCGGTGCGGAAGGAGGTCATTAATGCGAATAGAAAGAAAGTCCTAACTCCGGCGAAACCAACCCTTCTTCTTCATCGTCCCACCCAAGTACGCCACGACTTCACGATGCTTCTTCGCCTGCGCAAGATCCAACGGCGTCTTACCCTGACGATTCTGTACATTGATCGTAGCCCCATACTCAAGCAGCCCACTGACCATCACACTACTCCCCAGCTTCGCGGCTTCGTGTAGCGGCGTCGATCCAGAGTAGTCCTCTGCATTGACGTTCGCGCCTTCTTCGATCAATTTGTCGAGTAGATCGAGCATGTGATCGACATGTGTATGCACAAGCACGTGTAGAATACTTCGGCCTGTGAGATCAGTGCGATGAATGTCCTCCCTTGCTCCGTAGTCTTCAAGCAGTATATTCACTATATCGACGTAGCCCATTTGTACTGCGTAGAATAACGCGCATGTCATGCCGTCAGCACGTGAGTGTACGTTTGCACCGCGTTCAAGGAGCAGAGCGATGATGCCGTAGTCGCCGCCTTCAAGCGCCATGGCTAACGGCTTCGCGCCAGCTTTGCCGATAGCTTCGATGTTGGCTCCCGCATCTAGGAGTGCAACGACAGCGAATCTCTGATTCAGCAAGATAGCAAGGTGAAGCGGTGTATTTCCATCCTCATCTTCTAGTTCTGTATTGGCTCCATGCGCTAAGAGCATCGGTATATGCCAGCCTAGGAGATCGAAGTGTGTGACTGCATCGTGGAGTAGTGTACTCTGAGCATTCGCTGACTGGTCATTGATGTTTGCGTGCGCTGACAAGAGCTGTCGAAGCGATAGCGCGTTATTGAACCAGAGCGCGTATCTGAGAGGAGTGAAATCCGCTTTAGCTGCGAACATTGCCTGACGAGGCACGTCAAGCTGTGCCCCACGTTGAATGAGTACCATTGCTAAACGAACATCTTGCGTTCGAGCAGCTATGTGAAGGCCAGTACATCCACTCTTGTCTGTCGTATTGACCGACGCTCCGCAGTCTAACAGAATTTCCACAATCTTGTAAACCCAAGGTGTAGTGGCGTTGTTACTGATGACCCACTTAAGGGCCTTCTCCGGCTCATTTCGATATGATTTCTTTCCCTTGAATCCAGCTTGGGCAAGAAAGGCCAATGCCTGGGCCGTTATCTCTTGTGGTGATGGTCCTGTGTCGTCTTCCATGGTGTACTCATCGATGATATAGTCATAATAACTATGATCTGGGTACGGAGGTAGTGGCTCGCCAGCAAAGTCATCGCCGCAGGGCAGCGAAGGAGGATTTGTGAACGGCCCTGGTGCGCTGGTTTGGGCGACGCAATCTTCACAGTCGCAAGTTGGAATCTGAACGCAAGGCTCTCGATTCTCATTCAGGACACGCTCTCCTTCACAAGACGAACACGTGCAAGTATTCAGGCACGACACTGCTGCGTTCACATCGCTCAACGTTTGCAATGAGAGGCCTACCAAATGGTAGGCGCACGTGCAAAATGCCAGTTCAGGCACGAGATCGCCGACTTCGCGGACTGCCTGGAACAAACAACAGATATCACACAGGCAATGAGTTGGCTCCTGTTGACGTGCGAGGGAAGTCGTGCTCTGAAACAATGGCGGTGGCGGAGAAAGTTTGGGGTCGTCTGCTCCATGCTCTCGTAGTACATCGGCTATTTCCAGGTTGCCAATGTTCTCGCTGATATCCAGTGGTGTTGTGCCAGCCGAGTCTTTGACATTCGCATCAGCACCAGCGGCCAATATTCCCAAGATGACATCTGTAGGCGCGTCATGATAGCAGGCCAGATGCAATGCAGTTTGACCATAATCGTCTCTAGTGTTGACATCTGCTGCGCCAAGGTAGCGGAGCAGAATTTTGGAAGTCTCTAAGCTTCGTCGATGGATTGCAACATGGAGAGCGGTCTGGCCTCGAATGTTCGTGATTGTTGCGTTGGCACCTTTCCTGATCAAATACTTTATCATACCAGCTCTGTTTCTGTTCGCCGAATAATGTAATGCAGTATGATTGAACACATCGCGTCGATTGAGGATCTGCGGATCCACAAAGAGGGCGTGCTCGATCACATCACGTGCGAGAGAGTCGTCGAAGAAGTTGCTGGCAACAAGCATAACATTGGCTCGGTATTTGTCGAGTGCCTCAGCCGCGATCAGACCGGTGATTTCATCTCTCCAGTTTGGGTTTTTCTCCCTCGCAAGGGCCATGTGAGATTCAAATGCGCCGTCATCGGCTACAAACGCTTCCGCAAGACTGATGGTAAGAGAAGAATCTTCTTCATTCGTGGGGTCGGCGGCCTTTGGTATATGCACGAACCGCAAATGAGTCGCTTCGTGTTCATGATCAGTACGTTTGCCTGTGCGATCCCTGGCTATGTGTTTTGCTTTCGTTACTTGCACCTCCGGTATGTCGGCACGAGTTCTATCCAGATCCCTGGTCTTTTCCGTACCAGGCGTTGTCGGTCTTGGGTAGCTGTCTTCGGTCACAGCCGCAGGTGTGGCGCATAAGGGTACATTTGTATCGTTCCCGACATTGAGCCATATAGGGTGCGACTGACCGATACCTCCCGCGGAATGATGACCGAAATATTTCGGTATATGGGAAGGCGTATGTTCCGTCTCTTCAATACTCGTGGGAGGTGCCAGAAGCGTCACGTCACTGCCGATGGATGTCGTCGTAGTGTCGTTGATGACGGTAGGTGCGTCCGACATGCCATTACTCAGTACGGCCGTCTGAAAGGTCTCATCTCCTGACTGCGAGCCTTCCCAAGATGTTGTGTCACTTCCATCTCCAGTCACACCCTCGTTTGCACAACATGGACCGCTGTAATGGATTCCTTTGGCTTGTTCCTGTGCTATCATCGTTTGGAGATCTTGAGCTGTGAGTCTCAGTTTAGGATTACTGGCTGTCATGTTACCAGTCCATTGTAGCAAGGGCTGATCACTCGTTGATTCATTCGACAGCTCGGCTATCCAACTCTGGATCGCTTCTGGGTTCTGCCAATAGTTCGTTGAGAGTGTCCCTTTGTTTTGGAAGAATTCAGCCTTCGATCGCAATTGTTTCTTGGTAAGAACAGTCTGGAAGTGTCAGCAGTGTTGAAACATACGTACAAGCGATCTCTAACGCACTGCAATCTCCAGATAAATACATCCCAGCGACCATACATCTGACGCAGTATTGCGAGGTTGTAACATTCCGACCTGAGATAGTGTTAGCAAAGATTCAGTTCATCATGTGTAGCTGGATTCACTTCGGGTGCGATGTATGCCGGTGTATAAGCTTCGGGTTGACCCATCGTAGTCTCTCGTTGCGCCTCAGTCCAGTCTAAGGCGAGTCCAAAGTCTGCTATATATACTTGCTCGCCTTTGATGAGGATATTGGATGGTTTGAGGTCTTTATGGCGGCATTTATTATGGTGGAGATAGACTAGAGCGGAGCATAAGCATCCCACGAAGCCCCGAAGGACGACATGGTCTTGCGTAGTCCAAACATCTCGGGTCAGATATTGTTGCAGATCCATATCGGCTACTGGTTCCATAATGATGCCAATGTATCTTCGATCGGTGTATGAACTGACACGTTGCTCGTTAGCAGCGTATTGTACTTCGGCTTGCCCAAACTCACCCTAGGAGCTTCACTAGATGATGGTGCGACAGACGCTTGAGGTTGTGGACCTCATTCTCGAACGACAGCAACTTCTTGCGGTCCTTTGGAAATGTGCCACTTCTTCGGTCGATGCGTTTTAGCTGTTTCTGATGAGTTAAATATCTAGCAAAACACATTCCAAGTCCTTACAGCGTATTCCATCAAATCAATCCTGCTTTGAACACGATGGACAATGCTGAAGCCACCTTTTCCAAGCTGCTCCTTGGTCACAAAATATGAATCTGCACCTTTGTCTGCTGAAAGTCAGCAGCGAACGGTTTATAGAACTGTAGCTTACCGAGGTGATGATGACGGCCCCCTTGCACCAGATCGACTGATCTTGAGCTAAGTACATACCGTTGTTGTCGAAGAAAGCTTTGCCTGGAAGCAGCGGATTTGAGACTGGAAGTGAGGTCAACTTCAGTGAAAGGGAAGTGGATGTCCTTGAACCCTTCGACAATGAGCATGTTCATCGCTCGTACTTCGTTGATCATCCGGAGAACGAGATATAATCTGGGCCGTACACTCCAGTCATGCTTTCCAAGTATTGCGAGTAGTTCCCCAACCCCCAGAATTGTCTCGTCGTTGTATGGCTTATCGGTACCCATACGCTGGGCAGACGCGGTCGATAAAAGTGACGATAACCTCTCTTCGAAATCTTCAGCCCCTATATGCAGACTAGTTGTAGTCGTATCCAAACAACGCGTGGCAGGTAGCACTGGTGAGGGCAACTTATTCGTTTCCGGGCTCAAGGCGTTCACTTGCGAGATTGTTGGTGGGGTCGGGGTGGTCGGCATGCTTGCAACACGTTTCTCCACTCTTGGCGTCGTTGGCGTTGACAGTACCTTCGAGGCTGGACTTTGGTCAATTGATGGATCTCCTCCTGCAGGCGGTGTTTCGCGGCCCTTGCCAATCCTTCGCGGTGGTACATGAAGGGGGGTTTTGTTGGTGATAGGACGTGAGCTCTGCGTCTCCTCGAGTATAGACGTAATCTGGTCGAGTCGCATTGTGGCTTGACGTCGGACTCTTGCAGAACTATGCTGGAACTCTTGCATTTCACTTAGCAACACTGTCTGCTCTTTATCTCCTGGCGATACTAGGCGTTCGTTCAGCAATTTTGCCATTTGCTCTAAGGCCACCTCGAGTTTACTGATCTGAGCTTTCAGCATTGCGGCATTGAGAGCATCACGTTCAGCAATCTGCATTTGTTTGCAACTGGAAGAATTCGTCAGCCGTTGCGTTGATTGCTCAAAAAGGGTCGACGTACGTTGTGACGACCTGAAACGCCAACTGAATTGAGCTCTTATGATCTTGGAAGTTGCGTTTGATGTGTTGCAGGTCGTCCGAGCGTCTATCAAGCTTCAGTTGAAGCATGCCTTGTCTTAGACGGCCTGTGGCCCCTGAGATATCAAGATCGTAGAGGAGATTGCTGAGTCTTTGAGCCTCACGCTCACAGCTTCGAAGAGCTCGTTGGAGACATTCTAGCAAGTCGACCTGCGACTCGCCTTGTACTTCTTGCACCGCAGCGATGAAATTTGGGGCCTTGAGAACGCGATGTATGTTATCAATCAGGTCGCAAACAGCCTCTGAGTCGGCTCGAAGTTCGTCCAAGGACTGATGAACGCTACCCCCCTTAGAATACGCGTCCTTCAACTGTTGAACTGCTGGACGGAGAATCTGTATGACCGTCAATGCAAGGCCTATGATGCTGAGAGGGTCCGCCATGTGAGGCAATTGATGATGAAAGATTACAAGGACTTGATCATGGAAGACATCAAGGCTGCGCTTCGACATAAGGCCTGGTGCACTACTTATCCTGTGGTGCACAGCCCCACAACCGAGCAACACATCGAAGCTGAATCCATAGCCATACATCTCAAGTCTATCTTTAGGCAGCTTTGCAAAGAAGCCAGGCAGAGTGATGCTATTGGCAGGGAATCAAACTCGACTGCAGATATGAGCCGCTTCAACACTAACCACTGCACTGTCAAAAATAGGGGGGCCGAGACCGAATGGTAAGGAGGGTTGCTCGCGGAGACTATTGACCAAATAGCGCATTCTCTCTTCCACTCTTCAACAAGGAGGCTTGCCAAGACGCATCGAGACAGACATGCAGGAAGGCCACCGACAAGGAATTGGGGGCTGATGACAAGGCTGAACGATAGCCTTCTTTGGGGAGAAACCCACCCCCTCACTGACTGGGCTTTGCCGCTCCAAGCGACACCCTGAGTTGTCTCTATACTTCTGCATCCAGGCCCTGTCAAGGATACACGACCCCAGTACAATAGCATTCTCGGAGCACCTGTAAGCCGTTGGATTAACGATACACTTTTGAGCACCTACCTTGCACATAAATATGGATTCATTAGGGTTTACACGTTGCATACTGAACGCGATGAATTGACCAGTGTCTTTACAGCGCATGCCAAACATGATAGTTTATGTCCTCAACGCCAAACTTGATGCAGGAGCCTTACACGTCCAGGTGCATCAAGTGATCTCTGCGCTCAGCCCAGCAGTAGCGAGAATTCGCACGTGAGAACTCTTGATGATGTGTCGCGTAAGCAGCCACTAAAAGCTGGCCATTGTGTTGGGGATCGGATGATAGTAGAGGGTAGGTACTTCGAACATCACTTACCCAACCAGAATTTTCTGACCAATCGTGGCGTCCTCGAATGCGCTCTTGCTCCAATCCTCCGTCGTATCCAGCTCTTTCGGTGTGGGTTGAATTGCAAATGTAGCGATGAGTGTGTCGAAGATATCCCGATATTCACGACGCTGTCATCCGTGCGGTCCGCTTACGCCGAGGGTGCCAAGTAGAAAGCGGACCACGTCACGGCCTGGGTGGTCCATGGGGGCTTCTGGATGCGCTTGTACACGCCGAGCTCGATTTCATGTTCTATTATAGCTTACTAGTCCGGCGTCTGCCACACGTATGGGTATGGTTAGTAGACACAGCGGAGTCTTATCAGCGATACGCACTAATGTGCACGCACCCCGCTCTACCCGATAAAAGTGTTTCGATCGAACTGCTGCATCGCTACTTTAACATCGTTGAAACACTCCATAGTAAACGCGGGGCTGTGTTCTCCGGCCATAGCGACTCAACACCCACAAACGAGCCTGGGTGTTCCCAGGTTGATCAACGAGAACAGGAGATTTGGGGACATTCATGGTGATCAGAAGAGAACGGACTAGGCTTCCCGCCCGCTCAGCCATAAACAAACAATGTACCAGCGGATCAGTAGTTCGGCGGGTAACCACTGGCGAATCCCCGCTGTTGTATGTTTCTGAAGTTCTTTTTGCACATCCCATCTCATTCCAAGTCGTCTTCACCGCACGTGAAACACTACCTCCGATCCGCCTCGACTTCGATCCATCTGCACCGCCTCGCCGTACATTATGCCATGCATATAAGCTTCTCCAATCAGCCAGTAACTGTAGGCTTTCTTCCGCAAGATGAAGGGCGAGAAACCTCCCCTTAGGACCACGACGTCTTCAGGTTACATGCAACGAGGCCCTAAACCCATATATTCAGCTGCGGTAACGAAGAAACGACGGTCCTGACACCAGTGCACATGCACAGTACCCAACGTTGCTGTCATCCTTTCCATATTAACGGGTGGTCTGGTGTTGACACCGTCTGAAACGATGCCGTCCTCGCGAATAGACAAGCTCTTGATGTACTCCACTAACACCTCCAAGTCATCCGGCTGTGCTTCTTCCCCGGTCTTCGCGCTGCCAGCTACTAGTGTAGAAGCTATGGCTAGATCGATGTTTCCTTGCATTGTAATGCTGCGATGATCTATAGTCATGTCCTTAACTGGTCCTAGCCATTGATGATATTCTTCATCCTCGTAATAGATATTGTTATGACAGACGACAGTTGTTTGAACGAGTTGATCAACCACTATTCCTTGGAGCAACAGCACGTTCTTGTCAAAGGATACGTCGCTGAGCAAGGATAGTGCTTCAAGACCCTCGTAGCATCCCGCAACACATCAGGAAGCGACTTCATGTGATTGACCTCTAGCAATGCCGCCTCATCACCTCCTAGGGTTTTGTCTTGGTCGATGAGTCCCAGGATGGCGTAAACGCTATCGCTAGCCTCAGTCTTCTCGAAACGCTGAGCCATGCTCAACATTGCAGACAGAAACCTATGCTCCGAGAAGCGACCGTTATCGCGGTCGACCAAATCGGACATCTGAAGGGCGCACATCCAACCAATGCAATCGTACAGGTCCCGAGCAATGAACAGGCTCTTATAGTTGAGCCACCTTGCCGCTCTTACTGTGTCGAGAAGATCAAACTCGATAATACCCCAGTGGCAGGTATTAGACGTTGCGAGAACGACTTCTTGTAATACCCATAGACGTCTCCGATGGTTAACGTCAAGCCCGAACGTTCTTGGAAGTTTGGTGCGCGCCCTTACCTGACCCAAGAGAGGCTGAAGAGAGCCAAGAGAGTCTCGAAGTCGACGCCCTCACTGAATCCTTTGTTCGATTTCAAAATAGCGTCCATTCCTTCGGCATACATGGTTTGGCGTAGCAGGGTCAAATTAGCAGTTGCAGTGCGCATCTCGGTAATAACGTCCTGGAGGGCCTTCACACCTCTTCTAGCCATACCGTCATCTTCGCCAAGGTAAATGAGGTTACGCATGCCACTGCGATAGACTGTCGACATGAAAGCCACTTGCTCACTACGTTCCGTTACCGACGACTGATCGATACAGATGGCGTCAATCCAGAGTGTTCGCGGTCTGCCGCTGAGTCGCATGCGTCTTATTGCAGCCTCTGAGCTTGCCGGTACGGATGTCAGATGCCCATCGAGCTTTATCATAGATGGAGGTCGAGGTGGACCCCAGCAATATGAGATGGTCTCGTAGACTGGTACGGGATCGTCAAGGAGGGAGATGGGACTCATTGTGCATTCGACGATATCGTCACCACTCGCTGGCGCAACTTCCAGAACCCGTATCTCTTTGAGAGCCGGGTCTAGAGGTTCATACTGCGCTGGAGAACAGGCAGTAATGTGTGAACACATGATGTTTCCTTGGTGACTTCTGCGAACTAACGCTGATAACAAGGTGACGGTTCAGATACCCAAAGGATGTGCTGAATTGTGGTAAAATCTGTCGAGCAGACCGACCAGGCTGAAGATGAGATGTGCAGATGACACACCTCCGACAGGAAGGCTGAAGCTCTCGGCTCTTTCCCATCAATCGCGCGTCATGGTATGCCACCACCACATTCAGCCTAGCAAGGCATGATAAGCAGGTGCAAGCCACTCGAGGGTCACTTCTCCTAATTGTTAACACCTTGCTATACTGATGGCATGAGCCTAATGCCTAGGCATTTGGGTATACCTACCTAGATAGATGATCGTCACCCAAAGACGCTAGCCCGAAAACGTCGCGATGCGGGGCTGGGGCATCTTCCTGACGCGTCTGCAACGCCACCAACCACTTCCATCACATCATACGTAAGACGCCTTAGTGCGCCCTCAAAAACCTCATTTTCCACGAATACGCAGACAGTCATGGCTGTAGTTTTCTGGTTATGGCTGTGCCTAGCCTCGACGTTCGCTGTTGCAGCGGCAGCCAATCCTGGACTAAGATACATCATGTACTTGACAGGGTAGCGCTAGACATTCACGATTATTACGAGATGCGACATCGCTGATAGCTATCAGGCAGCACAATGTAGTTCCAGAGCGGTCGGTGGTCGCAAACATAACCGAAGTCGCTCTTGCTTTCATGCGCTCAGATACTTTCAACATCCCAGATCAGCATGACTGGCCACTCTTCACTAGTATCGACGAGGTTCGACCCAAGTTTCCTGCAGGTACCATCATCCAAGTTGCAATCGGCGGATGGGGAGACACAGATGGTTTCTCAAAAGCAGCCAAGACTGAAGAAAGCCGGAAGCTATTTGCTAGCAATGTGAAAGCAATGCTTGACGCGACGGGCGCTGATGGTAAATCACATCCCATGGTCTTTCATGATTGAACCAAACGCTGACCGGAACAGGTATTGACGTAGATTGGGAGTATCCAGGCGGCAACGGCGAAGACTACAAAACACCTGGTCACCTCAACACTGACAAAGCCTGGGAAATTGGTGCGTATCCTAAACTTCTCACCGAAATCCGTTCTGCCATAGGCCCAGAGAAAACCATCTCAGCAGCTGTCCCGGGGCTACCACGCGACATGCTCGCTTTCACCCCTGTTAACATCCCCGCCATCATGGAGGCAGTTGACTACCTAAACATCATGACATATGACCTGTTCAACCGTCGCGATAACGTGACAAAGCATCATACCGGTATTCAGAACTCTCTTGAAGCCATCGACACGTACCTCGATGCCGGAGTACCACCCGAGAAAGCAAATCTTGGGTTGGCATTCTATATCAAATGGTACAAGACGGCTGCCAACTCAACGTGCAATACCAACCCCATCGGCTGCGCGACCGAGCTCATGGAAGACCCCGTTACAGGCGCCGATCTAGGTAAAGCTGGTGCGTTCTCGTGGCATGATGAAGTTCCGGAAGAGCTCTCCGCATCGTACGAACGTGCGATGCGGAAGGGTGTCTATGATAAGGTTGGTGGCGGACAGTATTATTGGGATGCTGAAGAGAACTTGTTCTGGACTTGGGATACGCCTGAGGCTATCAAGCGGAAAGTGCATGTCATCATGAAAGATAAGGGCCTCGGAGGGGTTTTCGCCTGGGGGCTAGGTGAGGATGCACCAGCATTTGAGCATTTGAAGGCAAGTAATAAGGCGGTACGGGCGTTGGGAAAAGGAGATAGCGAGAGAGAAGCTCGTGGTGAAAGGAGTGAGCTGTAGCATTGCTGACTTGGGAAACTTGTTGACAAGTGCTATATGTTGCATCAAATGCGATAGCACAGCGAAACATGTGATGGCAGGGGCGTGCTGGAGTGCTCATGATGGTTATCCTTCTGCACAATGGGATCCGCGCATAGTTGTAATACTTCTAGAAGGCCTGTCTGTTTTCTAGTACTTCTCTGCGATGCTTGTGCCCAGCTCGATCTGAGCTGAGATTTCGAACAGCGTAGACACGCCTTTGTGTTGCCAATTACACCACACCAACGCCTGTTGTTTGAGTCATCGCCCAACTTCTTCATTTTGGCATGACACCAGGCCAAATGCCGCCTTGAATGTATCGAATTCTCTCTGGTTGAGTGATCAGGTCCTGGCCGGCCCAAGAGTACTCGCTTGGCTTTCACTGTTCGACGACATTGCAGTATCTTGTCTCTTCAGTCGCATCCTAATCTTACCAATCGTCAAGACCTCATCTGATTGCCTCAAAGGGTCTTCGTTCGATACCGACCTCGGCAACACTTTGTGCCTGATCACCACACACAGCGATTGTATCCATCGCAAAAGCGGATAGAGAGTGGGCACGGTGCCGCACACGACCAGCAGAAAGAGCTCAGCAGTGACCCAGACAAAGATGTCATATGTCGCCCACGTCAGATCGGTGCGGTTACCGAGCTGTGAAAGATGACGCGTCTTAATGCCCGAGCATACCGAGGTCAGGATGTTGAGTCCGAAAACGATGCATAACTGAATGCGCTGGAGAACGCTGATCCGGAGCTTCCAAAAGACGGTTAGTGGGATCATCGCCAGACTAGCATCGGCAAAGGTGTAGAAGGCTGGTAAGGTGAGCACTTTGAGCTTCATACATAGCTATCGAACTGACTTACAGCCAGTAAAGATGCCATAGGCGGCCATGACTTTAGGGTCCAAGCATGTACCGTCGATTCGCGGATCCCACAAGCGCTGTGGCGGACGGCATTGTAGAAACGTCAGAAGCGAGCACGAGATGGCCACCAAGCTCGTGAAGATGATCGTTACGCTCCAGAGGTAGATGCGCTGCCACGTCCAGCCCATGTCTCTCATGATGTTCAGCAGCAATGCTGAGATGGAAATCTTTCCGGAAGCCACGCCAACAATGCCGAATATCTGCGAAGTCCAGTTCAGTAGGATGGCTCTTGTCAGATTATCCATTCCGCGCTTCTCCACATCCCAGATGTGCTGGCAGCCGCCGCGATTGGCATACAACGTCAGTACAACAGACCATCCTACGAAGCACATCTTAAGATTGTCAGTGGAAGCAAACTTCAGTCCGCGATTCACATACCCAGGTTGTACCCATGAAGATGTCATCCCAGCCGATCTGGTTCTTACGCGCGCGGAAGATGAACCGAAGAACAACAGTAACGAATGAAATAAAAGTCAGAGCCCACATCAAGAAGACAAGCGCGGGCCCTCGATCGGGGATCGAGGCTGCATCTCGCTGGTAGAGTGCACTCATGGCCACTCAGACTATGCAGATAACAAAATGCCAAGTCTCCATAGTCCTCAGTCAAAATGTTGTCGAATCCCAAGTGTGCGGTGTTGCGCTCCTTTTCACAAACATTTGTGCTGCATAAGGCTGGTTTGGCAACATCGGCAAATCGTGCAGCATCGCCTCAAAAAAGTAAGCACAGTCGTCGCGCCTGAAGGAGCATGGGTCGTTCCTTTGATTCGTTGGAAGAGTGCCGTCTCATGCGGTGCAGTTGAGAACATGAACGAAGGATCACTCCTTCCACACATGTAGTCAAGCGCGACGTGCCAGCAAGTGTATGCGGACTAGTCGCTCACTTTGTCGGGTGCACCTTGCCTGTTTAAGCGAAAGTCCGAGCCGTGGGCTACTGGACCGAGCCGCTTCACTATTTCAAGGACTTCTCACGCCTCCCGGCTTGCGACCGAGCTCGTTACCAAATCACGACCTTGCACAACCTCGAAGATGACGTCGCAAGCCGATCCTCAGGCTCTTATTGAGCAGCTGCAGCTGCTGAACGCGGATCCCAGCGCTTACTTCAAGAACGATGCGCAGAAACGTGACTTCCAGAAGTCCGTTCGACAGGCGGAGAATGCGGTGGAGGAACCGTTTGAGACTATGCAGCGTTTGGTATATGGCGTGAGTGATTGGTGTGTACCGTTGTCACAGACAGTAACTGCTGATCCACATCCAGCCGCTACCCCTTGTTACTGCACGCATTGGCCAAGATCGAGGCATCTTCGAAGCACTCGCAAAGAGTCAGGATGGAGTACAGCTTGATGTTCTCGCTCAAGCGAGTGGGCTCCAGAAAGGTGTCCTCGAGGCCATACTGGATTACATGTGCACAAAGGGCATGGGCGTTGAAGTTGCACCAGGGACATATAAAGCTACGCCACTGACACATATGTTGCTTGTGCCGTTGTTCAAAGATGCCGTAACTCATTTGTTAGTGATTCAACTACTAGCGTGAACCCATGCTGACTATTGGTAGTCATGACAATTGCGCTCCAGCCTTTACAGCTCTTAATCAAGCACTCGTGGGTCCAAAAGCAAACAAGACTGCATTCAAACTGGGACAGCATAGCGATGAAGACTTCTATACATGGATGGAAACGCATCCGGTCCAACAAGGCGCTTTTCACCGCTTCATGGAAGCCCAGTTTGCCAGTCTTCCAACATGGCTAGATGTAATCTCGTTCGACAATGAGATCGCCAAGGGCGTAAGCGCGGAGGATGTGGTATTCGTTGATGTTGGTGGCGGCAACGGATCGCAATGCGCAGCGCTGAAGAAAGCCTTTCCCGAACTCAAGGGCCGTATCATCCTGCAGGATCGCCCAGCTGTGCTCGAAACAGCATTGGACGTCGATGGTGTGGAGTTGATGGCCCACGATTTCCTCACTGAACAGCCAGTACACAGTGAGTTCATATGCTAGAATCCTAAAACGCCCCAGGCACTGACAGCTCCAGACGCCCGAGCATACTACTTCCGTCAGATTTTCCACAATTTCGATGATGACACATGCATTCGGATCTTACAGATGCACCTACCCGCACTTCAACATAATCCCGAGAGCAGAATTTACATCGATGATAAGACACTACCCGACGAGAAGCCAGATGCTAGCACACCAGGTGTTGAGTATACCGCAGCGCTTAGCCTGGCTATGAAGGCAATGTTCGATGCGCAGGAGCGACGAGAGAAGCATTGGCGTTGGATCATTGATCAGGCTGGGTTGGAAGTTGTGGAGATCCGGAAGTTCACGAAGTTTGACGATAGCGTTATCATTGCTAAGAGAAGGTACCAGGATCAGTGGAGGTAGCAGGACATTGATCAGTTACAGCTCAGGTTCACCCTTGTGCCGCGTATTGATCATGCGCAGGTTCTCTGGTAGAGCGGCTAAGTGCAACGTCATAGTAAATGAGCGAATCATATTGATGAACGGGCTACGTCCTCCATGATCCAGCTTTTTTCTCAGGTTCCTACTCATGCAGCAGCTTCTCTCTCCTTCGAACTCTTTAAAGTCTTCACACTCTTGCAATACCTCTCTAGAAATTCTTTATACTCATGCTTCAGCCATTCTCCCGTATCTTCATTCTCAGAACTACGTCTTCCCCTCATTATTACCACTTTGCACGGATATGGAAGAAATGGCGCTCGTGTTGGACTTCGCATCTTATTTCAAATTGGAGACAGCCATCACGCGAAACATCACAGTCGATCTCTAGAGAAGGACCTGAATGTGGTCGACTGCATCGCGGACTCCGGTCATCAAGAATCATCTACTGTAGCACTTCGGCGCAAGGTTGATAAGGAGATTTCTACCATGATATGTACGATGAGTTCTATCACGGTCACTTAAGCCTTTGACGTTATATGAGATATGGCTACAACTTCTATTCAAACGGCAGTATAGACAGACTAATCGACCAAATTGACATGAAAGTGCTCTGGAAATTTTGGCGTGAGCCGCACAAGCATCACTATCGTGTAAATGCTCAACTCTCTTCAAATTTTCGAATGACAGAACCATAGGGGAAGAATCATCATCAGTTCAGGAGCCATTAGTCGACTCGGAAATTGAGCAAACTCAGTGTCAGTCTATTTTTACAATAGTGGAAAAGGTGGGAAAGAGTTCAAGGAGTTCAGACAACTTAGAGGAAGATCGTCAATCCGCTAGAACAATATCATCGTACGCAGCACCATGATTGCGTTGTATCTAATTCCAGACAGCTCAGATGTTCTGGAAGATCTTGAACAATTGTTGGTAGATCGATAGCAGCCGTCAAGCTTACTTCCTAGTGTGATGAACTATGCTAGAAGCACCCCCATCACAATCAGCACTCCAGACCTCCACAAGAACATCCAGAAGTTGTGGAACGAAGAAGATTCAGGTCTCCTGGTTGCTTTGGGACTGGATGGTCTCTGTGAGCTCGGGCTAGACAAAAGGCTACACGGTTAATCACGAAAGAGGTCACGCGCTTAAACCTCTAGGCTTCCCGGGTGGCTCTACGAAGACAACAAATCCAGATGCATTGCGAGTATACCTGAATGATAAGGTTTCACCATTGGAAATGCACATAGCGTCATTGCCGTACCGGATTCAAGCGATCCCGCCGTCGAGCAATAGAATATAGATGATCTAGACAGTGAGCTGCTAGCAAACAATCTAATCAAGCGTTCATGGGCACAAGTCATTGTACCCGAACATCGTTTGAGGGTCAACGGAAGATGACTCCACAAGTGGACCTTAATAAGAAAGATATCGCACATCATGATGCAAATGCTTCATGAAAATTGCGAGGAGACTGATGCAAGCAGCAACATCCTCGGGAGTCAGACTGGGGAACAGAATGCATCCGCGCCTTTCCCCAAAGACTTTTGGCAAACATATACACCGAAAGTCTCCCGATTCCCCTGTGCTGTCTGTTTCGGGAGAATAGAAAAGTAGCGTAATGTGAGTAGTGGAAAGCAAACATCTCCTTGGACAGAAACAGAGAGAAGTCGACTAGGTGGCATATCATGAGCGCAATACGCACAAGACAGAAGCTATAGGGCGTTCACAGTGAGATTCTTTCACATGCTATAGGTATTCCGAGGCGACTCAACCAAGAATTGGGCCGTCGAATGGAGACATGATGATAGCTGTTTGCGTCCATTATTAATTATGCGCACATAACAATGCTGAATTCCAACGGAAGCTCATCGGCCTCTGTTACAAGAAGCCCCTGGAAAGCCACGGGACAATGTTGGGCGGGTTAGGAAAGTCTCCAATCACTTTAAGCACCGGCTTAGGTGAGGCATCCGTTTTGGCTTCTAATTTGTGATGCGATTCGTTCATTTCATCTGTTGAGGATTCATGCTTCCAGGATAGGTCGTCTCACACATACATCCGCTGTTTAGCAAACTGTTGTGGCTGTTTGAGGACACAGAAGGCGTCGGTCTTCGCCTTTCATTACGCTCATGAGCGGAGAAACGGGGCAGGAGTGAACCATGTACATTGACAATGACCACTTTGATTTGATGTCAAACTTCAAGAGAACACAACAGTCATCATGTCAACGAATGAGTGCATCTCCCGTCAGTGAGACTCGATGAAAACCCGGAGGGACTGCGCTGTTGCGGACAGAAGGATCTGACATTGAGAAGCCAGTCTCCTGGGAACCGTTCTCGTAGATTCGAGGGCAGGAAAAGACGACCGCGCGTAACTCATGCGGGGTTCACCAGCCATTCGAGGCAGCAACAACCCTCAACCCAGCACGTTCGCAGCGGCTCAAGCTTCATTCTCAAGCCCCATCCATTCAGCATCACTATTGATTACCTTATACCATATCCCGACCCACAATAACACCATGATTGCGGAGAGCCCCCAATAATCTCAATAAGACCGCAGAGATCGCGATCAAATGTAACATTATGAACCCCAGTCACAGATCCCCCGAGATAAGCAAACAGCCGTGGACGGCGCGAAGCCATCCCCATGTCCAACGGCTTCATCGGTCCTTCTTTCGGAGAGACCAGCGACCGTTTTGCTGCTGATCATGAACAAAACAAGTAACCACACAGTCAGCCCTAGATACCAGTACACTCGCACCCCTCACGACACTATTCCCGGTTTTCTTGCTTCACTCAACAAGTTCAACGAGTTGGGCGTTGTTGGGCGTGAGATGTAAGGATGGACGCTGTTTGCCTGTCCGTTTTGGTCTTTTCCGTAAGCTGGAAATGGGAGATGAGGATGTACCGGCATTACTGGAAAGGAAATAGATGTAAAGCGGGAGGCTGCACCGGTGCCCAATCAATCTTACTGTGTCCATTGCTTTCGTTGGGGGGACGCACGCACTGGATATCGACATCCAGCCCTTTCAGACACCCAGCCACCCAGATCGGCTCCTGCGCATCTTGCAGCATCGGAGGCGTTTCAAACATCAGGCCAACGACTAGATCAAACGATATGGACGGCTCATCATGGCATCATTGTCGTGGACTTTGTTCGATTGCAGGATCGCACACTGGTTGGTCTGGCTGGCAAGTAAGGTTGACGCGTGACTGCGGTTGAGGTATCCAGCCAAACGGTCCGCACCGAAGTGTTCGATTATGCAATGCCTGCAGTGGTCAAACTTTCGGCTTCGATCAAACCTACCAGACCACACCCCTTGC